GTGTGTGTGTGTGTGTTTCACCTCCTCCTTCAGGCCATGTTTCTTCTGTTCCAGGCAGATTTCTTTGGCCCTCATCAGCTGCAGTGTTTCTTTGGAAACGGCGTACTGCAGCCGCTCCATGCGTTCCACGGCTGCAGCCCACGCCGACTTGCCGAACTTCTTCTGGTCAGCACGCATCCGCTCGTACAAAGCTGCAACACACGTCTGATTGTCAGAAATGGACCAGAGCTGCAGCCTCTAGTCGATTAAACAGTACTGCTTCATTTTAAGGCGTGTAAGAAAGTAAATAGTCTAATAGAACAAAAAAAAAAAAGACTGAATTTGTCAATAAAGATAGAAAATGCCTAATAAAGAGAAAAAGTTCTGCTCAGAAATCATCCGAATCACTCGTTTTACAGAAACTTCCTGCAGTTAGAGTTCACTGTTTGGGCTCAATGAACAGTTTAATATAATATGAAACATCCGTTAAATATAAAGTGTCAGTTTACTGAACGACAGAAAAGGTCGGGGACTGTAAGTGGAGCCTGATTCCTGCCTGAAGGGAAATCAGCTGACGTGTTTCCGAGCCGCTCCGAGAGGAAACGTTGGTTTTAAATAATCTGCAGGTGGAGTGATAACTGCACTTTGTTATGGAGTAAACATACAACACAAAGGGTCAAAGTCCCGCGCTGCTTCAGAGCGAGAGGAAGTGCCTCCTCCGTGTGTTTACCTTTCTGTGCCCGGGTCGTGGTTTCAAAGAATTTGACGGTCAGGTCCTGTATGGTCAGTACGGCGGCGTGAGCCTTCTTCTGCCACTCCTCATCCTCTTTCCTCAGGCTCTCCACACGGCGAGGACCGAGCCGCTCCGTCTCCAGACAGACCTGATGGGAGGAGAGATGAACTTCAGTCTGTGTAAAGACATTTCTATATTTAAACTGCAGCCGGACAAAGTGTCATTTGTTATTTAAAGCCTGAAGGAAACTAATTGTAGTGAGTTATCAGTAAGCTTATAGCTTGTTTATCTTTTGGCATCTGGAAACATTAAAAGTGAAGCTGCAACAATTAGTTTCATTATAAAATAATCTGTCGACTCGTTTCTTGATTGATTGATTGATTGATTGATTGATTAGTTGTTTGGTCCAGAAAATGTCAGAGAAGCTGAAAAAAACAATTTGGACATTTTTTATTTAAAAA